AGATCTCTGTGGGAACTGCAGCACCAAGACTCATTCAGTAGAGACGAAGCCGCTGAGAGTACAGACGAGAAGGTGAGGATGCGCAAAACTTACTCTGACAGAAAACTGTAGAGATTGGATAGATGCAAACGTCCTCTGCACGTTTTCACATTTTGGTCATGATACAACCACGTACATTTAGGGAATTTCTATTGATGATAGGCTAAAATAGAATGGTGCATAATAGTGAAGTGGGAGCATACTTTTTGATTATTTTATCATTTCAGTTTCACGGCCACATCTTGGTCGGTGAAATGTTCAAGAGGTATAAATAGGGTGGCAAGGCACTGTGTAATGTGTGCCTTCTGATTTGGTTTCATTTTACAGATGATGGCCATAATCGAAGACATCCTGGAGAAGCTTCCTGAGGAATATAATGTTTCAGAGATGATGGGAAAGACAACAGAGCGAAGCCCCTATATCTTAGTGTGCTTCCAGGAGTGTGAACGCATGAATCTTCTGGTAGCAGAAATAAAGAAGTCCCTCAGTGAGCTGGATGCTGGCCTGAAGGTACAGCTTACTGCCCACTAGCATTTCAGTTTATATATAAATTGTATATTTGTGTTTTAGCAAAGGGTTTTCCCTTTTCCACAGGGAGAACTCACCATCTCCTCCAGTATGGAGAGACTACAGTCTGCGTTGTTCAATGATTTCATTCCAGATTCTTGGACTAGACTGGCTTATCCCTCAACTAAAACACTTGCACATTGGTATATTTTTATCCCCATCTTTTAAACTACAATGTTTCATCACATAATGACACTGCTGGTTACACGATTTTACTACAAAACAATTTGTTACTTTTTATAGGTTGAATGACCTAATGAGCAGCTGTCATGAATTGGACAGTTGGACTCAAGACTTTGTTTTGCCTGCAGTTGTTTGGCTGTCAGGACTCTTCAACCCACAATCATTCCTTACTGGTGAGTTTTAACTCATAACATATTTACCTTGTAGCTGCTGAAGGACCTGAACCGAAGGAGATTCAAAAACTAAGCTAAACCATGTTGAAGGAAAACGGTACATATATACTGAATAAAAGAAAGTGGATGTGTGAGTTGTAGTTGAGGAGTTAAAAGTGAAATACATACTACCTTAGAGTAGAAGTTTGAACTATTTGAATTTAGGGTTCATGAAACCTAAACAATGATTTTAATAGTTTGAATGTTTATTTTTCTAACTGAAAGTGGAGGGGAGTAGTAGTAATAGCAGGCGGTTAGAGGTCAAAGACCTAGTAAATGTTTTATAAAATTCACACAAATAACACGTGGAGGTGTGCTTTGTCAGCTGTACTGCAGAGTATTGCGCGCAAGAATCAGTGGCCCCTGGACAAAATGACTCTAACTGTTGACGTAACAAAGAAGATGAAAGAGGACTTTGGACATCCTCCAAGAGAGGGAGCGTACATCCACGGACTCTTTATGGAAGGTCAGAATCAATAAGCCGGAAATATCCACTGTCTTCAGTTACGTTTTCATTATACTTTACTAGACCTACAGTATGTGGGGATGAGCAGGAACATGTCTATGTCTGTCCTCCCAGGGGCTCGTTGGGACATTGAATCAGGCATCATCTCTGAGGCCTTCCTTGGAGAGCTGACCCCGGCCATGCCAGTGCTGTATGTTAGAGCAGTGCCTGCAGAGGAGCAGGAGCTCAGGAGCACCTTTGAATGTCCAGTGTACCGCACAAAACAGCGTGGCTCCACATATGTTTGGGCCTTCCACCTCCGCACCAAAGAGCCCCCACCGCACTGGGTGGTAGCTGGAGTTGCTTTGCTCTTGTCTGTGTGAGAAAGTCATTAGGTCAGGGGGGAGCATCTTAAAAATGTGCTAAATTTGTTTTTTGTTTCGTTTTTTGTTTTTTTTAAGAAAATGTATTATGCAAGCAGTATTAGTATCATGTATGTGTTTCACTGACACATTAGTTTCATAGTTTTATTTTGATATGTTTTAGGAATTACATAGGTTATAGATTAGTGTCCAGCCAGTGTTGAGCCTGTCGTGTCTGCGTCCACCGCTGCTCCTCATCTCCCTCGAGTGTGACTGGGATTTGTCGGGAGCTTATGTCTCTATATTAGACCATGTAATTTTGGATGAGCAGCATATTTTATTAGAAGGTCAAGATTAAAAAAAGCTCTCTGGCTGCCCTCTGCTAACTGAATGATACACAATGCTGTCTGGAGGGATCCCGGACCAAATTCCCAGGAGATGATGTGCATGGCCGCTATTGACTTTTAAATGAGGTGCATTTGACATTGACCTTTTGTACTGCGGAGGCAGAATACTAACAGACTAGTGTAATTCATTCAGCCGAGCCTGTTGCAAAAACCTATTGAAAGGAACTGATAGCTTTGTATGAGAAAGCAACACATTAGATTACCCATCCTTTATCTGTCTTCTCCTCTCTGACTGCATCTGATTAACCTACTCAGATCTAAATAAAACCTTTAAGTTTGATTCAGTGCATAGAGAGAATGATCATATCAAAAAATGCTATCTTGTTCTTATCAAATTAATTGGGGTTAATTGAAAAGTGAGATTTCCAGATTACTGTTGTATTACTTAGAAATAAATGCTTAAAACGCTGTTCATTTCAGAAAAGTCCAATTTTAGAATTATATACTAGAATTGTTGTATAGACCAACATTAATCATAAAACTAGGAAATGAACCTCTTAAAGAAACGGTTCGCGTTTATTCTCTTTGAATAAACCATTTGTTAACTTCATGATCCTAATGTTATCGGGGTTAACAGAGGCCACATTATTGAAAATGTGATTCAAATTGCAGCCCTGAATCACACTGGTGTTTCTCGGGGTGTTGGGGAGGTCAAACCAGCCCTTTTTCTCCAATAAGATTTTTCTCCAACGATAATAACTGTTGTGTTGTTCTTAATTCCTCCCTGCAGCCTCAGTGGCTCCAGACAGACAAATGGAGGATGGAAGATTGATTCTGTGTATTGTATTCCAGGAGAGGGAAATGAAGAGTCGGTCTTCCTGCAGATTCTCCTCATCTGCCTTCTCTTCCTCTCATTAGCACGCCGCAGCAGCTAGCCAGTCATTTGGTGACAGGGAAATGATACAGTGCCTGCAGTGTTTGGGAGGAAATGGCAGGGTGCGAGGCCCCGGCACGGCGGGGGGTCGTGCCATGGAGAAGTCATGTTAAAGGCCAAAGAGGACACCTGGTTAAAGTCAGAGAGGGCATCTGGGTCACACCTCCGCCCCCCAGCAAAAAAGTAGGAGTTGGAAGTTTTTTTTTTTTCCTTTTAACTTTTTTTTTTTTTAGAAACTGTAAACTTTTAGACTTTTATCACTTGAAATAACAGGATTAACCTAATTATTATGAGTTAAAGAAGTTTTGAAATGAACTGAGAAATTGTCTGGAAGAGGATTTTGCATTCGACCAGTAACCCTGTGAATGAAGCTTTCAAAAGTTGTATCAGATGGTTCTGACTTTTCCCTTTAATGTGCTTGTTTGTTTCACAGATTAATAACAACAAATGCTGTATTAAGGCATATTCCAAGCTAATTTTTCTCCTGTCTAAAGAAACCAAGTTAATTGCATCACCATCATAATCTTGAAGTGTTTTTATTGTTTTGGTTTTCTTTAGTATGTCTGATTATTTTCTATGTTCTTTAGCTTTGATGTATTCTCCTTATTGTCTAAAAAATGTTTGGTTTTTTTTCTCCCTCCTCCTCCATCAGGAGGAGGAGGGCTTAATTACTCTGGCTGAGTAATTAAGCCCATTGACTTCACCTGTATTTAGCATCACTTTCACCTGTTTCCCTGCTATTTAGGTTCTTGATTTGTCTTTGCTCAGTGGTGGATTCTCTATCTTTGTGTCCTGTTTCCTCGTTAAGTGCCTTGCTCCCTTTCATGTCACAATTTCTAAGTTTTAATTTTTATTATTAAATTCTCAATTATGCCTCACTTAAGTGTCTATATTTGATGAGCTGGAAGGTGGCATCTGAGAGCCAGACATCTAGGTCCCCCCCCACTGGAACTATTAACCCAGTGATCTGATCTCTGGCAAACATAAGACAATGGATGGGTGAATGTGAATAAAAAAATATCTCTTATCTGGTGCACATCTTTAGTTTCAGGCATGGAGAAAAAATATTTAAACCCGTAAGCTATATTGTGTTTTGTGAAGGACTACGGAGCATGTGCTGTACTTTTAGTTGTTTTTTTTTAACTATAAGCACCTCTTTCTGACACCCAGGAGGATTTTTACCATCTCAGTGACATAAAGCATTTTGTTCACATTTCTAGTCCTCAGAGAAATCAACATCTGCTCAAATGTGCATCAGCAGGTCAGAACTTTAAAAATCTGGTGATTAGTAATCAGGCACAGGATCTCGGTCGGTGCATGAAAAGGTTTTATTGCACGCACAGTTGACAGAGGTGGTCAGGTCATCATTTGACATGTACGTAGAGCAGCGTACAAAAAGGATTAAACAAAAGCATGATGAATTTTAAATCTGTAGAACAAATGAAGACTTAAATATCAATATGCAGCATTTGAGCATGTATCCACAATATAAATACTCAACTGTACATGGTTGAATAAAAATTTTGAATTAGAAAATGATAAAGCAGATTTATCTCATAATGATCGCTGGTTTGAAACTTAAAATATACTGAGCAGATGTTGTAAAAGTTACCCAGCAAAACACATTACTATGCTTTAAACTTGTACACTGCAATGAGAATGAACATTGCACACAAACAAATTTTACAATTTTAATTCAGAAGTGCTGTCATTTCATTTTTGCTATTGCTTTCTAGTTCTGTGTAAATTTCAGTCTACTGCAACTCTGCAGCTTCTGTTGTCTTAGCTAAAGCAAATCTGACTAGTTTTCAATGAATTTCTTAGTTTTTTTTCTGGTACCACAAACCAAAAGCTGATGCCAATTCCTGACTCCTTTGACTGATTGTCAACAATTCAACTTCGTGGGGTATGTTTTTTTTTTTTTTCCAGAGCAGTAAAATGCAGCTACATAGCAAAATACAGAATACTTCACATTCTTGAGCTTCCTACACTAGTACAGCCTGCACTGAGTAAAGCTTTCTCTGATAAATGGAACTCGTCAATAACAAAAGTACTGCAAGGAAAAATGATGCACTGAAAAAATGTACAACTGGAATATTAAAATGACATATTCAACAATCATTGTTATAACATCTACAATCTCAACCAGACATCTTTGTGTGTGTTAACTGGACAGCTTTTCTCCTGTAGCAATATTTCACTACAAGAATAGATTGTTGTGTTTGCAAACGGCCCTATGTGTGAGGAACTTGCTGTCTGTCCTAATCTTTAGCCAACTCATCAAACATTTATTAGGTGCTAAAAGCATCTAAAACTAATTTTTAAAACAGATTTAGTGAATAGCACTTATCACAGGAACTATTTTATTCTGCTGCATTTAAACTTTATGCTGTATTTTATATTTAACTTTGAGAGAACTATTAGAGTGCTGCTTTAATAGTTAAGTCTATTGATCAACAACTGGAATACAGCTTAATTTTAATCTTTACTCAGGACATTTTATCGTGAGGATTTGGATGATCTTGAAGACATTGAAGATAATTAAATGTTTCTTAGTAGTTGTTTTCATCAAGCAAAGAACCTTGAATTGCCTTTTTGCTAAAATGTGCTATGCAAATTAATATTGCATTGCATTTCTTCAGGTCGCTTTAAAAGTCTGCACTGGACTTTAGGTCTGTTCAAGATAACCTCTTACGCCCTGTAAGTCATCTCTAAATTTTTACAATATAGATTTTGGGATGGTAAAAAAAAAAACATTTCTAAATGCCTGTACATGTCAAAGTCTCTCACAAATCTTGCCAGTTTAAAACATTTGACGGGGGGGGGGAATCATGGTTAGCTCTCATTTTAAACAATAATTGCTGTCTCTTTTTATTCAACAGAATGATTACATGTTGTAGAAAAATAGTCAGGTGAAAACATCCTCAGTCATGATTTAATATAACAGAAGTTTTGATAAGTTCGCTCTGTCAGTATAAAGGACTGCTTTTTAGAAAAAAAAATGTATATATATATATATATATATAAGAATCCACTTTTTTTAAATCAACTGTTAGTTTATTTAGCTCTCATGTTCCTGGAGATGACTCTTTACCCTTCATGATCTGGGGAAGTGGAGTCCCAAGACTGTGACCAAACCTTACAATGAATCAAGCAGAGTCAGAGAGGTCTTGTATACCTTTTGGGAGATTTGGTTTTGTCAACTGCTTTTTCTTGTCATTGTTCACTAAGTAAAAGCCTATGCTTTCATGTGAATGTTTTGCTGTAATGTGGTTTGTCCTCACAACACTTTGGAAAGGTGGTCTTGTAGGGTCTTTTAACAAGTACTGTATTTGTGCGTTAGATCTCTTGTCAGGTAAGCCGAGAAACGGTGTTGAAACCACACACTCGCAGAGATCCAGGAAGGACCAAGTAAGGCGCTTCTTCCTGTTCTTGTGCTAACAGGAGATGAATCAAGGCTGGTTTCAAACCTTGGGTCTACCTCCTTGTTTTGTTCCTCCCAAAGATTAAAATGGGTACAACAATAGCTTTGAAGCTACTTTCTCCTGAGACACTGAGCAACTCTAAATATTAATAGATTGTATTCAGGTAAAATAAAAGTTGGACCTTCAGTTCACTTGACCTAAAACTTAGTCACAGTTTGTTGATTTAGTTTGTCGGCTTTTTTCTTCTCTTCTTTGATTGAGATCTCTTGATTTCACTGATTGTGAGCTCCAGGGGATTTTTCCTTTCCAAACTTTTTTAACTTTTAATTTTAGCGTTGGTTCTAAATAAATGCTAAAGGGGAACTATTATCCAAAGTTTTTAGACATTTTTGTTCAAGAAAAATGTCTTGAACAAAAAGACATTTTTTGTTCAAGACACACTGAAAAAAAAAAAAGAAAATCCAGCCTTAACCAGATCATTCTTAAAGGAGCTCATAACAGGCAGAACAGAGGGGGTGTAGTCTCATTTTCCTGTGATTTTGAGAAAGAAATTTTATGAACATGTTATTTTACAGCCCATCGACCTATTCTAACTCCTTTTAATAGGAAACATAATAGGTCCCCTTTAATCCTGAGAAATATGCAGAAATATCCTTTTTTTATTTTTAGCACTGTATGTAAAGTTTTCATTGATTTTGTTGGGGTATGAAAGATGAATCATGAGCATTAATGCAATTTAAAGTCACTTGAGAGCAGAGCAGTATTAATCAACTGGAAGTATTTGTTGCAGTGTGCCACTGAAAAAGAAAAATTTCCCTTGCTAACTTCTGCCATCTGCAGGTCTTCATAAAAACAGCAGCAGCTCTGGGCCCCATAAAGACGTCTTGATAAATGGCTGCCACTCAAGGCTTCTGCTGTTGTTGCAGTTCAGCAGGCTGGCGCTGCAGCTTTCCCGTTGAGTAATAGTTGAACGAAATCGGTCACGTAGGTAGTGGATCCAAACAGTTTCTGCGGCCTTCCTCATGTGTGTCTTTCACCGCTTGTTTAGGTCTCTGGTGACAGCCTCCTGATTGAGTTACTCCATCTTGTGTGTTTGAGTCAGAAACGTGCATACCTCCCAGGATTGCTGACCCCAGTCTTGGGCACTACGAGCTGAGACAGTGATCGGTTGATCCTTGGCAATTCCGCAGAGTGGGAAGAATAGAAAAAGCTCCCATCTATGCACGAGGCTCCAGTCTGTGTGACAGTTCGAACAGAGTCTGCTGATTGTCGATGACATGAAGGTAATCGGTGTAGGCTCGAACCTCTGAGCTGCTCTTCTGGGCAATTCCATTTCCTAGAAGAAGAACATTATTTTACTTTTAAGCTGTGCTGGTATTGATTCATAAGTGTTCAAATGCTTGAGACGCCATCCAAAAGTAATTAGAAATCGGAACCGAGTGAATAACTAGAACCAATCTCTTGGGTTTCCTTAGACATTGGAATGATAAACTAAAGTTGACTGCAGAGTTTGAAATGTATAGGATCAGTTGAAATGCATCATTGGACTGAGTTAACTTTACTCTGTAATGTGCCTTGAGGTCTTAAAAGCACACTCCTCTCCATCTTAATAGATGATTCCCTGCTTTAACACATCCGATTCAGATGTCTGCAATTCAGTAAAAGCCTGTTACTCGGCCATCAATTGAAATCAGGTTTGCTGAAGCAGGAAAACGTCTAAAACATGCAGGACAGTGCGACTTGAGGAAACACTGCTTTAGATAAATGGTTCTCAAACATTCTGTCACCACGTCTCATTGAAGCTACAAACGCCTTGTAGATCCATCGGCCAGAGGTTGGAGTAGGACAGAAGTTGGAATCAGATATTTAATTTTTAATCATCTCTGAGTGATCGGCAGCTCAAATGCTAAGTCAGATTTTTATTTTATTTCTTTTAACATCAATTCTCCCAGTTTTTGTCTTAACAATGAATGTCTTGTATATAAAATTCAGTGATAGCTGGTATAAAAAAAAAACAATGACGATTTAGATCTCACAGGTCTCATTATGATTATTAAAACATCACATCATGCATGACAAACGATCTGAATACTGACCCACGTGGTCTTGCTGACACTCTCGGATGAGTCTCGCCATGTCTGCTATCATGTGCTGGAGGATACAGATAAAGACTTTGATTAAACCATTTTCCATTCTGTATGTTTCCTGTCCAGAAGAAAAAAGACACACACAAACTTACCAACTTCTCAAAATTGACCAGATTATCGTGAAATGTTTTGTTGCCTTCATGAATGAATGTGATGTCTAAAAGGGAAAAGATTTACATTTAGTGAAAAATGTGGGTGTAAAAGCGGAATCACCCAATGATTGTGACAACTCCCCTTTTTTTTTTACCCCCAATGTTTGTCAAGTTTTTGGGCTCCTGAAGCAGAAGAGTAAGGAACACACCTTTCAAGAGTAAAGGAAGAAACGGGATCTTGGGGGACTTCATCTTCTTGAAGGAGTCCCTGTATGCCTTGTGGTTCAGTGAGGGATCCTGTGAAGAAATGTTCAAAATGAATGAAACTCTCCAGGGAAGGATGTGTGTGTCTGTTGCATGCAGACATTGTTGGAAGTGAATTCTGGAAGGATTCGAAGCTAATGATCACATAAACCTGACACTCTTTAGCGAAGTAAAACGTGTTTGTTTTTAGCTACTTGTATCCCCTGGTGCAGCATGGATTCACATCAACGCTCTGCTTTCAGCAGTGAGAGGCAATATAACTGAGTAGACTTACGGTGACCGTCTCCAGCTCGGAAAACAGCTTCTTAAATTTACCAGGAATTTTCTGCAGGGACAGAAACATTAGTTATTACATTTTTTTTTCTTCCAGATAGTTCAACTGCTGCTGCAAATAATAATAATAAATTAATGTCGGAAGGAAAAGAGGAAATCTAACCTCCCACGTCTGACTGAGGCGGCTTACAGCACCAGCATTCAGGCCCATAATAATGGCAAAGAAGCTGTTGAGGTTCCTCTGTGCTTTACAGCTAGAAAAAAATAAACACACACACACACACACACACACAAAAACAGAATTTTAAAGGTTTTAATTTCAAAAGAATTAAACTGAGTGCAAGTTAGTCGTTTTCCACAAGAGGGCGTTGGATTCTCAATCAAATCAAGGCTTCCATTTCAGCACAGTAGTATTAAAAGGCAATCGGTAAATTTTTTTTTTTTTTTTTTTTTTTTTTTTTTGTAAAAAGTGACTAACTGAGCAGCAATCTTGATGAACTTCTTGATGAGCTGGACCCTTTTGCAGAGCGTTGGACACAGCAGCACCTCAGTCATGACCCACAGCTGGACTTCGTTGCATTGCTGCAGCAGCATCTCTAATGGCATCGTGTAGCTACTGCAAACATGGCGGTTGAAGGTGAAGTAGATCAGTTCCTGCTGTAAGACAAAAAGAAAAGAAAAAAAAAGACTTTAACCAAGCTGTGGTAAGCTATGACAAAAAGAAAGGTGACACATCCAGAGGTAACTATTTGCGCTTAAGGATGCAAATAGAGGCCAACCTCGTGCATCGAGTTGAAAATTGTCCAGTCAAAGTTGGTGAGTGCAACAGCCACATCCCATGTATTTAAAGTCAGCATGCGAGCCGTCCTCTGTTGCAACTCTGAGTTATCTGTAAATGGGTTCTGTAGAGGAAAAACACAAAGGCCTATAAGATGTTTTTTTTTTTT